TCCCTGACTTTCTGTCCTCAAATCATTATAAGTGTTTGGGCTTTGTTTTACCCTTGACAGAACTTTACTGTTGCCACATTGTCCTGTCTTTAGCTGTGCAAAACGCCCAGGAGTTTGAGTGCTGTAAAGACTTCACAGCATAGGCAGGTGCTTCTGAAGTGACCTGTGATTTTTCAAGAGCCTGTGTGTATGGGTCAAATTCTGATACACAACATGGCTGCCAATCGAGACCAGTTCTTTGCAATTCATTGGGGCAAGTTTAGATTTATACCCTGGGAACTGAGAGTTCATTTTGGGTCATCAGTTGGAATTAGGTTTTCCAGAGCTGTCTGGACCTGAACCCAGATGCTAAACTTGTGTCCCTGCAGAGGCCCTTGGCCTACGGGCATGTCTTTGCCCCATCATTCTCTAAAGGGGAGACAGAGACGTCGGGTACCTCAGCTGCCTTGAGGCTTCGCACATCGATGACGGTGGTGGTTCCAGCTGGAGCCTTCCTGCTGGTTGCTCTCTCGGGTAGAGTGATGAAGTCAAACATCAGCATCGTTAGTGGTGACTCTAGCTCCTTCATATCTGGATTTGAATGTTCTGGTTTGCACTTCAAGCTGGACAGGTGACAAGCACCCTAAAACTTAGGCTGGCTGAGCCAAACCGAGTACCTGCAAGTCTGGGAAAGACTGGAAAGTTGGGCGTTTGTCTTGTTGTTGTTGAAGTTAGTAGCAAAACTGTCTTGATTTCTGCTGGCTGCAGAATTAGGTGAGTGCTAAGGTCTGCTGAAAATGGTACACATGTATCACATCTCTACTGTCAGAGGCACACACTGGGTTTCTCTTGCATTGTATTTCATTGTGGTGAGCATAGTCAATGTGTTTGATAAATAATCTTTACTTTCAGTAGATGAGCTTTAGATGAGCTCGAGAGGTAAGAATACAGGTAGATTAGAGGTCATACCTTTCTGAATTGACAGACGTACTGAACACTGAATTTCCCTGGATCAGTGCTACTGCAAACACTGAACGGACTAGCAAGTAAGAAGCAGGTCCTTACCAGGCATAGGACAGCACTACAGTGGCTGTCTCGTACTGTCTGAAGAATCTGGTGCTGCATGTGGAAGTGTCATGGTGTGCAGTTTACATGTATTCTGCTGCTATATGTGCCCCAGAGGACTGAGATGATACTATAATGTGGAGAGCGAAGAGATGTTATGAGTTACCAGTGTGCAGGCAGGAAACACCCACACAGCATTTCTTGCAGGTGATGGAAATGTGCATCTGCTGGGAAAGTGAGCCTTTTTGCAATTGTATCCAAAATTGAAAAATGAGACTGAGGCCTTGTTGGGAATGTCCACATGCCAGACTGCCATCCTTTGCTAGCTGGCTTTCTGCAAGTACGTGGGGTCTCGCAAAGTCACATCCTGTTATTTGTCAGCCATGAATCATAATTTCTTTTAACTGGCTAAATTGAGGAGCAAGGTGCAAGGAGAATGACCCTTGTTAATCAGGGCAGATGGGTTGAAGTAGTGGGTCACTTTTTATCTCTCGCCTGTGAAAACAGCTTGACAGCAGTCAGCAATCTTATGGATCTTCTTCTTGTGTTCCTGAAGGGAGCCATCTTCCTCTTCCCATTGCAATTTTCAAAGTCTATTGCTGTAAATCCTACAGGCATTGGGTAAGAAAGTTTAATACCCACCAAGTTGCCTGCAACATAGCAACCAAAGGATAGTCAGACTTAAGGTTGCATGTGACATGTATTACATCCATTATACAAAGTTCCCCCTCTCTTGAATGAGTGGTTAAGGAGAAGCTGGACATCCAACAGAAGTATGACAAGAGCATGACAAGAGCAGCTCGCTCCTGTCTTAGGTATCCTTGGACTATTTTCCTACCAGGTTGGTAGTAGAAGTAGGAGATCTACAGGGGTTCACCAGCATCTGAATCCAGCAGTTTGGGTTCATATCTCTGTGGATAGTGGTCAATATCCTGCTGCTCCCACAAAAAATTGGTAGTTTTTGATGTGCTTGCTGGCAAATGACTTTATGGGAATGGAGACCAAATGGACTCCTGCCCCTCCTGGTGGTCCACCGGGCTGGAGTGGGGACCTTGGTGGTGTCAGCCTGACTGGTTTCTCCAGGTCAGAGCTCAAGATGAGGGGATGGGCTTAGTTGGCCTAAAAATTAAAAGTCTTGCCAGGGCAGGAGTGAAGAAAGCAGGCTGGTTTCAAAACCCTGCCTCACCACTCCCTGGGTGATTTGGGCCAGGAGGAGGGAAGGTCGCGTAAGGTACTTGGCAGAAGCTGGGAAGTGCATATGGGGAAAGACGCTTTGTTTCTGCCGGCGATTGCCTGCCCTGGCAAATGCAGCAGCAGGTAGGGCCCTGGCGGGTGGTAAAGGAAGGGCTGTGGCCGTAACCCTTAGCCAGGCTTTGTCTGCCATGCAGATTAGGTGGAGGGCTTTTCTGGCTCAGCGTTGCTAGGCTCTTCCCCCCTATTGACTTGGTGGAGAGGCTGAGGGGGGTGGGAGGGAAGGACTGCATTATATTGTTTCTTTGAGTTGTTTCCCCCCCCCCCTATGGGGAGATGGGCTTGATCCACTGGTTTTGGATTTCAGAGGCAGAAGGCAAGACATGACCAGCTGGTGTCTTGAAATGGCACAGGTGCAATGGCTGCGGGAGGGGGGGAGCCAGGAATAATTACAGGTTTCTGAAGCATCAGGCTTTGCCTGAAAAGGGCTCATCGAGAAACTGCTCTTTATGGAAAATTAATGGTGAAGCTGGAAAAAACTGTCAGGCCCACTATTGTTGTCGTGGGGTAGTGATGCCTTAAAGGAGCAGCACCTTCAGCTTGCCTCCCCTCCCAGAGCTGGCGCACAGCTTTCTGATCCCGCAGCAATTGAAATTTCATGTCACTGTCATCAGATTTAATGGCCTTGAGTCCCTGTCTCTCTCTTTTTTTTTTCTCCTTTCGATCCCTAATTTGTGGTTATGGTTGCTCTTTCCCGTGGAAGCCTTTTATTTATTTGGCCCCTAAACCTGTTTCTGCCCCACTGGGTGAAGGCTAAGTGGGCCAGAAAGCCCAAATTACATGATGTGGGGAATTCAAAAGCATCGCCTCTTTTGGTGAGGGGGGTTATTCCTGAATGACTGTGGAGCACATTTGGAAAGCATCCCTGAAAACCTGTTAGGATTCATCGGGGGAGAGACCAGATCCCCAGCTAAAGCCATTCCTCACGGTCCCAGAAATGCTCTTTAAAAAGAGAACAGAAAGGTTGCTTAAGGCAAGAGTACTAACTGGTAAGTGTTCCACCTCCAGGCTTGTGTGCAGACACATTGTATGTACAGCGTCATGCCTCTGAAAATAACCTACACGCTAAAGTATAGCATGTCTCTGTTGCCATTTTATTGCTTTTTGTCCAAGTCCGTCTCTACAGCTCAGGTCTATAATCAGCTATTATTTTAAAAAGAAACAGCAGATAACTGTCTGACAAATTCAGTTCTGAACTCTGAAAGTCATCCTGGCAAATTGTATCTGCAACCAGCAGTGCTGCTTCCTGGGTACGTTGAAAGTAATAATCTTGAGTTACCCGATAGCTCCTAGAGAGCTGTGAGTGGGGCCTGTTTACACGGCTGTTGATGGGACCTTTGTACCCAGAAGGCAGGAGTCTCTGTCTCTCCTCTGGTCATAGCATCTTTTGTTTCTTGATCAGATGCTGGACTCTCCAGGTTGAGACATAGTTGGGTCGCCAGCTCCCATAGGCTGAAAATTTTTGCCTAAAATCCCTTCCTTAGTATCTCTAGAAGTGTTCTCTGAGGAGTAGTTTTTAGAGGTTTCTAAAAAGTATTAGTTAGAATATCTGTTTCTTCACGTCCTGTAAAATCGCAGCGGCGGTGTTAAACCAGCTAGCCTTTCAGGCAGCGAGAAATGAAAAATAGCACTAATAAACTCCATTAAAAGCTCCTGAAACTACAGCAAGCAGTTTTCTATAAACAATAAAAGTTTATATAATGTTGGTTATGGAGAACACTGGGCTGCGTGATGGTGCCTGAGGCTTTATTGGGGCTAGCTCGGGGCACCTCATATAAGGTACGTTCAAGTAGGAGGCTCACCCCATCCTCGTGCTGATGATCACTGCTGTGGAGATGCAGGACCATGTTTTTATGTGGCAGCCTCTGTGACTGCATCTTCACCTACTTTTTAATAAGGTGCGTGTGTGTTTGTGTGCATGACTGGTATCCTGTACGTAGGAAGCCCCGTTTGATCAGATGTGCCAAAACTCCTCTAAAACTGACAGTAAAATCTCTTCCTTAATATCTCTAGAAGTGTTCTCTGAGGATTAGTTTTTAGAGGTTTCTACAAAGTATTAGTTAGAATGTCTGTTTCTCCACGTCCTTTTTTCTGTCACATCTTTCCTTCTCTCAGGCCCTTTAAACAAGCTGTGGTGTCACTGAAAGTTTTTCCCTGTCTCCTATCTTAAAATGCTACGCTTCAGAATTGTGCTGTTTTAGGAACAGATTGGGCCCCAGCCAACTATGCTGAGTTAAATTTGGAGTGAAAGTTAATGTTTGTGAAGGAAGAGGAAGCAGTTCTTTGGAGAGGTGACTTTTTGTTTGTACATGGCCAGGCGATGGGGCCATTAGGATAGTTTCATATGGAGGTGACCGTTGGCCAGATTACACTTAAAATTGGGAAGGGCCTGGTATCCATGGGACAATGTACAGACTAATGAAAATGTAGCGGATGCTTTCTGGTTGTCGTGTCTTCACTTCTACCATAATATCCGCTACCATATGTGGATTTTCCCACACTCTGTCTCAGAGCAGCATCAAACAAGTGCCAAATCCTCATGTCTCCCAAAATGTGACCGTCTCGCGAGAAGGTGCTGGTGTGCATGAATGCTGTCTCTGAATGGCACTGGACCATGTTGTTCTCCTGCCCTAGGTGTGGGAGCTACACTGTAATCTCTCTCTAACAGTGTTTCTCTCCCTCCCCTCTCCCTTCCCCTCCTGCAGACATGCCTGGAGTTGGAGCGATACCTTCAGACTGAACCGCGGAAGATCTCTGAGACCTTTGGTGAGGATTTGGACTGCTTCCTTCATGCCTCCTCAGTCGCAGATGCAGAGGACAATATCCGACAGCTGGACCCCATCCTTTTACCAGTGGAGACGAGTACGTGTGACAAAAGCGCCAACATGGACATTATCCTCTCACGGGACAAGCTGCTGTCTGAGACGTGCCTCAATTTGCAGTCTACCAGCTCTTCCACAGAAGGCTACACAGCCGTCAACCAGGCCCAACTCAATGCAGTAACCTCATTAACGCCCCCTTCCTCTCCGGAGCTCAGTCGCCACCTTGTAAAAACCTCACAAACTCTCTCAGCGGTGGATGGCACGGTGACGTTGAAATTGGTGGCCAAGAAAACATCACTCAGCTCTATGAAAGTGGGTGTAGCAACAGCGACCGCGGGGACAATAAAAAACGGGCAAAGTGACAGTGAACAAGGAGGTACAGGGGCAGAAGCGTCCCCAGAAAACAAGAAGAGGGTTCATCGCTGTCAATTTAATGGGTGCCGGAAGGTTTATACAAAGAGCTCCCACTTAAAGGCTCATCAGAGGACTCATACAGGTACTTGTGTAGGATGCTTCTCTCATCTTGTTCTCCTGCCACCTAACCGTAACCATCTGCTTTTATTCTCATTTAGAAAAGAAAAAAAATCTCTTCTGAAACTCCAAGCTTCTATCTATGAAACAGGGCAGTGGAAAAATATGGTAGGCCAGCAAATGTACCCATTATTCAATAGAACAGAGGAGTTCACCGTCTACCATTAACCTGTTGGGGTTTCATATGTCTTATGGGGCTTGATGCAGAGTAATTTTAGGATACCTAAGGGATGTAGATGTATCATTCATGTTAAAACTGGGCATGCCAGTTTGGGTTTTTGGGCACGCACTTGCCCAAGTCAACTTTTAAAATTTTAATTTTAGTCAAGTGTTAATTGCTTCAAATAGAAAATAACATGGGTAGGTTTTTGTTGCCTTTTGTATGGGGGAAAGAGAAAAATGTATTTCAGATCTGAGATATGTGGTTTAGGAATAATGTGTGCATGAGAGAGCATGTGTGTAGATACAGACGTGTAGGTATGGAGATGCCTTCAGATACTCACGATCTTGGACTTTGGTGATAAAATACAGTGAGAACAAATGAAAGAATGACATGGAGTTTGAATGGAATAGTGTAGGTAGAGAGGGAATAGGATGTATGGAAGGATGTCAGGCTGTTATTTTGGGTAATATTTACTAATGTTGCATATAAGCTCCACTGTGTAAGCTTCTTGAAGCATACCGAATTGACTTAGGTTTGGCTGTTCAGGATCCCCACTCTCCTGTCATTTGTTCATAGTCCCCAGTAGCTTTTCAGCTGATACTCATTGGCAGTAATAGCTGTTCAGTTCGCGCGTGTTGCTGCTTTGTTCTAAGCATCACATGTGATGAGAGATGATAAATTCCCATTAGCACTGTCTTATCATGTGATTATTCCTGTTTCCAGAGGGATTGCTGTAATCAGTTTTCTCAATTTTACTGTAAAATGTGTGGTCTCTTACGATAACTGCACATTTAATTCACGATCTTATCATGCAGGCAGATTCCTAGAAGCGAGGTTGTTCTTGCAAGGTAGAAAATAACATGTTGGATCAGTGCAGTAAATCAAACAAATGTGTGGGTTGTTAAGAGAGCTGCATCCATCAAATACTAGGCAGCCCTGTAAAAGTTACATGGTATGAAGTATAAATCATATTAAGACATGAAAGGGATTGGTTTTGATCTTTTTATATGGGTTTTCTAGTGCTTTTACTGGGGATAGCCACCTTGGCAGGAGTGACCTCACCTGTGATCCAGTGATTTGAAAGCCAGTGGAAGTAGCGCAGTCATTTTAAAATCTGCAGCAACATGGTGAGGAGGCTCCTCATAGCACCAGTGCTGCTGTGAGGCTGGCCCCCACCAGGGCTGTCTGGGGGGACATCCCAGCCAAGGCCTTCCAGCAGGCGACGGGGCTCCCGTGAAGGCACAAATGCAGGGCGTGAGAGCCATTGACGTGGTGGTCTTGTCTGCTCAGATGTGACCCCTGTGTTCCTCCTCAAGCTGGAAGTGATGGGTCTTACACAGATCTTCCTGAAGTTAGTCAGGGGTGTGCCACGATTGCCTACAAAGGGTGAACTTGCGGAGTTTTTCTGTTTTTGTCACCCAGTAGGTGGGGATGGGGACAAGGAGACCTGAGAGAACACTTGCAAAAACCACTACTCTTTAAACACTTCCACCCTTTGGAGTAAAAATCTTGCAAGATTTTGCATGCTTTTGAACCCAGCCTTAGGTCTGGTTGAATTTTGTATCACAACCTTTCCCCTCGGTAACATCAGCATGTGAAATCTTACGTTTTACAATTAATCCATTACGAGAAACATTTCTCACTGGCCCTGAGATACTTCTGTGAATAGCCTTAGACTGTACATAGTGCCATTGATGTGTATGTGTCTGCCCATCCACACAAGTGCTCAGCATGGTGAGAAAGGCAAGTCCACTTTTGCTGGCAGATGGGGAAGACCTGTATCAGATGATGAGACTGCAGCTGCCTGGGTGCAGTGCCCACACCTCCCACTCCCAGCACCACACCTAGTGGGTTCAACTACCCCTCTGATCTTGCCAGTTAAACCATCAGTGGTTTAACCAGCCCCTAAACCATTTACTAGTTTAAGGGAGTGTTCCTGTTTCCATCCACCAAGTCCTAAGCAGATAGCATAGGTTGTTAGGAAAGCAGGAAGGCAAAAGACAAGAGGGAATACAAACCTGGCTGAGAAGCTCTCCTGTCTTGCAGCTGTATAACCACCCTGCATCTGACCATGTCCTAGCTGTGCATAGCTGTGTAGAAAGCATGGTTTCATTTTGTGATGAGGGCTGGATCCAGCCTTGTTGTTAAAATATATCTTTGATGCAGAACCTGGGAGTGGGTAAGCAGCTGGCTCCCATTTTTCTCTGTGGAAAGCAGATTGCCTAAATACCTTTGAATATATACATCTTGGGAGCAATCTGAGTGAATTGAGGGGAGGGGTGTGATAGGCTTATCTAACTAGCTCATTTGAGTCCAAAGCACAAAGTCATTCAGACCCCTTTATCCTGCTTAAGTGCTCTGTTCCCTTAAAAAACAGACCATTGGATGCCTTAAATCAGAACTGGTACAATCAAGACATTAAATCTGTTCATGCTGACCTCTGCAGTGGGGTTTCCCCGCAGGGAGCTCCTGCCTTCAGTAAAGAGAGGGACAGAGAGGAATAGCTATGGAAATTTGGGACTGAATTATAAATGGCAGGGCTGCCTCCTTTCCCATGCACGCCTTCAGGGCTCGGGACAAGGAGCCCTTTTCTCCATCAGTGCTTTGTTTTTTTCATGCCGTGAGCTGAGTGTGTTGCGGGTTGCGAATGCACCCAGCAGTGCCAATGGCTAGTAGGCACCTGGCTTAGTCAGTGGCTGAGCCAGAGGGTCTGAAATGATTGCAAGATATTTTCCTTTGGCTTGGTAGTTTGTTAGTATGTCATGCAAGAGCAGTCTGCCAGTGCGGGCTCTGTGTAAAAGGGTGAGAGTGCCCTGACAGACAAAGAGCTCTCAGTGTGGGGTTCACAGGCAGGGAGGCAGGTGCGGGCTGGTCACCCAACTTGCACATGCAAAGTCCACTTGCTGGATCAAAGGGATTTACTGCAGTGCATGAAAACAAGAAAACCATGGGCTGGGGAGCTGGGGGGTGGAAGGTGGTGGAAGGAGGTTGCATTCCTTTCGTTTGTACGTAAGGCTGACCAGACAGACGCTGGCTGGCGTTCCTCGCTGCTGAATGATGAGCCAGGCTGGGCTGGAGGCAATACAGACTGATAGCAGCTTGCTAGATTGGAGACAATCTTCTCTTAGGGCTTTACTTTGCTGAGGAGCCCAGAGACAGTCAGACCCCACATTGCACTTGGTGCATCCCCCACATTACTCTCCCGCATCTCATCCATAAGAGAATCAGGACAGCGCTGGCCCATCAATGGTTGAACTGGTTATGAAACCACCTTCTCGATGACCTTTGGAGAGGGAAAAACAATCATCTGTGTGGGAGAGAATTTAATCTGGAAGGGAAAGGGAAAAACATTGTCTGTATGGAAGGGGAAATGAAAATATTTTGACTGAAGTCAAAGTAAGCTGGGGCATCTAAAGCGAAGAGTGTGCAAAGGAGCTAAGAGCAGTGGTGGGACTGACTGTCAGAGGGCAGCAAAGAAGCCACTCAGGAGAGAAATAGCGGCTGGGCCTGTAAACAGGAGGAAAAGGTGAGCTGTAGGTTTGGAAACCATGCTGCCAATGTGAGGGTGAGGTAAAAACATCTATAGAAGGAGCCACCAGGACCGGCACGGTAATCCAACCCTAGCACATTCTCTCACAGTTATTCATGGAGCAGACATCAGTGCAAACAATGACATTTTGTCTCTTTTGAGAGACAGAAATTTTCGTCCAGCCTTCATACACGCATGGAGATGAATTGCTAATGTAATGGAGAGTGGAGAGGGAAGGAATTAAAATGAACCAAAACCCATGTATAGTCATCAGTACTTCCTAAATTAGAAAACAGGATATTGCTGGCGAGTGTCTGGATGCAAATAAGTCTAAGGGTGAGCTGGCCTGTGACCTGTGGAAAGATTAGTCATGGGACGTCGCTGTGTCTCCCAGATCAAAGACATCTGGAGGAGATTTCTATCTTCTGACAAAACCATTCATATTGGCCTTCCTTGCAGTAATGTACAGGGGAAGGTATGAGATGGCGTGGGTGCTTATGGCCAGAGATAAACATCACATATAAACTGACCAGGAAATCCTTAAGATTGGGATGGTGATAAAAAATGACCCCTAGGGGGTTCTGCTGGGGTTTGCCTTTTATTAGTATCAGAAGGTTTGGGGTTTTTTTCTTTAGCCATCTAAAACCAGGATCTGATACAACCTAAGCTCAAGTCTGAGAAACAGGAGTTGAGCACCTCACATCTATATTTAGGTTTCTAAAGCCTAAAACAAGTGGGAAATACCCATGTAAATAGATGTTATGAGTCTACATGCGATCTTAAGATAGCACTTATTTAAATGGAGTTTGTTTCACATTGTCAGGGCATCTTATTTTAAATTATATAGTTCTTTGATCCAAAGTGCTGGGTGAGAGTAACTAAAACAAACAAATCCACCCTGCAGGAAAACAAATTACTACATTTGCAAGAAAAAGACGAGAGACACAAGAGTATTAGAAAGAACATTAATGAACAGGAAGGTTTTTGAGATGGGATTTAAAACAGGGAAGAGCTTTCCTAAAGTGTTGGAGATAGAAGAGGAAACATCCAGAATTTGGAAATGATTGGAAAAGACCAAATTGAGGAGAGTAGGCTGGATGATAGATAAAGAAGATTAATACAAAGTAAAGGAATAATAGAGAAAATAAGACTACCTGTGTCTGTGATACCACATGAATGGGAAGCTGCATTGCTGTATTGTGTTAGTGTGGTAGAACCTGTGAACAGAAAGCCAATGAAGAGAAAGAAATAACGAATAGCCAAGCACAGCACC